AGGGCTGAAATCAGCCCTTATCCAGACTCTACCAGACTTTTAACTTGCTGCAGGACCATTTTGTTACGTTTGTGTCTTTCTGGCTGCTGTCCTCAAGCACCTCCTATTTCTGAGAGCCAGGTCTAGTATTCCCTACTAGCTAGAAGTACTCATTTGCAGGACAGTCTGGTATTTTCTGTTGTCTTCCACAGCGACTGCATTCTCTCTGCCTTATCATAATCATGTGGCAAACTGGTTACATATATCACTTCTGGAAATGGAACTTCTCTACTGCAAGTCATAGCCTCTTTCTTGTTTTTAGCTAAAGACATTTCTCCATTAGATAGTAGGGTATTTACTTTTAGATCAGGAAGCTCTGATTTCTGACCTTGCAACAGAATGGACATTCCTCCTAGAAAGTCAGAGAGCAGATTATAGCGTATTAAGCCTGCAGCATGAATATTAGTAAATGGAAAAAGAACGCCACTCAATGAATGTGTTATGGCTGTGGCATACCAGTGTCAGATATAATGTGCTTTTTCACCCAGTGGCATACATGATAATTATTACAAGAGTTCTGCAACCCTACTCGCCTTCTCAGAAGCAGAAAGTATAACTTGGCAGGGAGTCCAGCACAGGGGTTACATGATTTTGTAAAGTTTGAAGCATTCATTTGTGGTTCTTACACACCTGAGCCATGTTAGGGAGACAGCCCCTGATCCCTCTTTCCAATTTAAAACACGTGGGGGGAGAAATACAATTTGGTCCATGTTTGTTTCTGTTCTGTATTCCTTCAGATTAATTTAAACACATTTGGCAATAAAAGCCTTCTTTTCCAGTGGTTTAAACTACCAGATTGGTGGATCGTACTCTCCTCTCATGTGCAGCAGGATTGAACAATGTCAACTCAGTTGAAGTAAATAGTGTTATGCTACTATAAAATGCAGGTAAATCATAAGAAAATCAGGCTCTTTGTCTATGTTTATATAGCTTAAACTTAGACTACAATATGCATGGTAAGGGTACATTACTTTCATGCCAGTAAACCACTATGCATATTTCTGTTGCTAATTTAAACTATCATCATTCCAATGAGATCAGTGGTAATAGGCTTGATTGATGCTAGCCAAGGATCTGGCCCAAAACTGTACCAAGTAATAATAAGGAATAATATACTGCATAGCAAAACTGGCATTTCTTTTGTTCTCAATTTATTTTTCTAGTGGACCAGCTAGAAGGACAGTGCAGATGGATAAAACACACTGAAGCTTCACTTAAAAATTCAAAACACAAAGAAAGACTTGTGTTGTAATGCTAATTCATTTGCAGCTTTTAATGTTCCTAGTGGTTTAAATAATGTTTCATTTTTGTACCTTAGTATTTCTCAAGTTTTCACTGTATTCTCTATTCCCCCATAAAACTCTTACAACTTCTAAAACTTCGTTTGCTACCAGCACTTTGCCTTCTGATTTCCTCATTCACTGTAGGCAAGCAAAATCTGGTGAAGCTTCTCTTACAAAAACATATAAGGAAGCAATTAAACTGGACTGTATGACACAGGGGTATTCTAATAAAAGTAGAATGGAACTATATTAGATATGCTTAAGGACATTTGAGGATAGCTTCTTAATATAGGAGAGCATGTGGTGCCTATCTTCAAGAAAGGGAGGAAAGTGGATCCAGCTAACTATAGGCCCATCAGCCTGACTTCTATCCCGGGGAAGATCTTAGAAAAGTTTATTAAAGAGGCCATCCTTAATGGACTGGCCGACGCCAACATCTTAAGGGATAGCCAGCACGGGTTTGTTGCGGGTAGGTCTTGCTTGACCAATCTCATTTCCTTCTACGACCAGGTGACCTATCACCTGGACAAGGGAGAAGAGATTGATGTCATATATCTTGACTTCAAAAAAGCCTTCGATCTGGTGTCCCATGATCGCCTCTTGGAGAAACTGGCCAATTGTCGCCTTGGGTCCTCCACGATCCGCTGGCTGGAAAATTGGCTCCGGGGTCGGACCCAGAGGGTAGTAATCGATGGAAGTCACTCATCGTGGTGTCCTGTGACCAGTGGGGTCCCCCAAGGCTCTGTCCTTGGACCCATACTGTTCAACATCTTCATTAATGATGTGGACTGGAGTCAGAAGCGGACTGGCCAAGTTCGCCGATGACACCAAACTTTGGGGCAAAGCATCCACACCAGAGGACAGGCAGGTTATCCAGGCTGACCTGGACAGGCTCAGCAAGTGGGCGGACGAGAATCTGATGGTGTTCAACGCCGATAAATGCAAGGTTCTCCACCTTGGGAAAAAAAATCCGCAGCATCGTTATAGGCTCAGCAGTGCTATGTTGGCTAGCACTATGGAAGAAAGAGACTTGGGGGTCATCATTGACCTCCAGATGAACATGAGCCTGCAATGCGATGCGGCGGCTAGTAAAGCGACCAAAACGCTGGCTTGCATCCATAGATGCTTCTCAAGCAAATCCCGGGACGTCATTCTCCCCCTGTACTCGGCCTTAGTGAGGCCGCAGCTGGAGTACTGTGTCCAGTTTTGGGCTCCACAATTCAAAAAGGATGTGGAGAAGCTTGAGAGAGTCCAGAGAAGAGCCACGTGCATGATCAGAGGTCAGGGAAGCAGACCCTACGATGACAGGCTGAGAGCCCTGGGGCTCTTTAGCCTGAAAAAGCGCAGGCTCAGGGGTGAGCGCAGGCTCAGGGGTGATCTGATGGCCACCTACAAGTTTATCAAGGGTGACCACCAGCATCTGGGGGAACGTTTGTTCACCAGAGCGCCCCAAGGGATGACGAGGTCGAATGGTCACAAACTACTTCAAGATCGTTTCAGTCTGGACATAAGGAAGAACTTCTTTACTGTCTGAGCCCCCAAGGTCTGGAACAGCCTGCCACTGGAGGTGGTTCAAGCGCCTTCTTTGAACACCTTCAAGATGAAACTGGATGCTTATCTTGCTGGGATCCTATGACCCCAGCTGACTTCCTGCCCTTTGGGCGGGGGGCTGGACTCGATGATCTTCCGAGGTCCCTTCCAGCCCTGATGTCTATGAAATGTCTATGAAATTAGTGGCAGATCCTCAGATGGTGCAGATGACTATAATTCCATTAAAGGTGTGGCAGTATAATAATCTGAGCAGTGGTTTCATATTTTGATATTACTGTGATCTATTTTGGTTCACACAAAGACAACTGTCTGGTCTTTTGGTTATTTTATATCTCGTTTTATATCTGTACCAAGACTGCTCAGAAAACTAGAATTCTGTTTCAAGGTTTTAAAATTACTTCCATGCTGTTGCAAAACAAAACCAAGACCTTTCCAAGGTTTTTGGAAAATGGTTAGGCATGTTGGCAGATATGACTTAGTTGCCTGATTACCACAGCATTGATTCAGGGAGCCAGAAAGCTAGTTTTAAGCACTTGCTCCAGATCAGTTGAATAATTCGGTTTGGTGAAAAGAGTGTTTTTTTAAACAAAAAAAAGGCTTTGTAAAATATATTTTGACCATATTTAATCCATCTTCAATAATTTCTGTGGAAGGATGGATTATTTATTTTTCTCATTCTATTCCATGTCTTACATTTTTATGAGTGATAGGCTTTAGGTTTTCATTTCCATAAATGAACTGGAAATCTCTTTTGCTTTTAGTAATAATTTTCTTTTGGAAAGAGTTTAATTATATGGTATTTATCATGACATTCATTATGAGTGTGCTTAGAGAATATCTGTTGGATGCATTAACAACTCTGGCATCGAATGCAAAAGGAGCAGTTTAGGCAGACAAGGTTCCTTGGGTGAATTTGATATCTTTTATTAGACCAACCCAAATGGTTGGAGAATATTTATTAAGCAAGCTTTCGGGTTCAAAAACCCTTCGTCAGGCTCAGGAAGCTGCAGCAGTTGGTGCAGTTTTTCATTCATCGGAAATGGCAGGACTGTAACCATCAGCATATTCTCTAATACCATTCCATTTTCCATTAATCCAATCAGTTCTTTTGCATTAGACACAAACAGAGGCTGCCTCTTTGTGGTAATATAAAATACAAAGAAGGCATTGCAAATTCTTTCCTGTTGTCCTTGTAGTTCAAAGAGTTTGATAATTGATGCTGCACTGCAGAATATACTGTTGGAATTCTGGATATGGTATGGAATGCAATGTTAATATCCATCCGATCAGAAAAGTCCTTTGGGGAGGGAAAGATTATTTGTTACTAAGCCAAGAAAGTAAAAATCTAATCCTGATTGTTTTAGTCCTCTGCAGTTTTTAAATCTATCTTGTGATGCCATGTTACCACTCTAGTATGCAGCCGACCTGTACATTCTTATGACAGGTAATGATCAATGCAAGTAAAATCTAAAACACCAAATACTTAGGCAACAGCCTATTGAAAATAGTTTGGCATTGGAAGTACCAAGAAGTTGAAAGATCAGGGGGCTGCTAAGGGATATTTGTATTCATCATTCAGTCACTAGGTAAAATTTGGCTGAGGGTAGTACTGATGAAAGTCATAACTGATTTTGTTTTATTGTGAAATACTACATTTTATTTTGTGAAATACCATGTTCAATGACTTGGTGGGCTTAATTCAGTACACATCATACAACCACTGCTTTGACTCATCACCCAGAGAACAGAAATAAAGATGGTAAAGGTTCTGGTGTTATCTCCAGGTCAGGTCTTGAAACTTGGGTGGACAGCATGAGGCGATTCATACTCTACTACTAACATTCATTAGTAACAGAGAAGGCTTCAGGTCCAAAGGCTGCCAAACTGGTAGTTTTTATGAGCACTAACTTCTAATAAAGAAAGCAATGGCCTCTTCATTCTCCTTACTGAGATGTACAGGATATGAGCAAAGGCCTGCATTAAATGGCTTCAGCAATCAAATCAACAAAATTGTATTACAAATAAATTTTATTCATTATCTGGTAAATAGGATCATTTTTAAAAAAGCGTATAACAAACTGCTGCAGTAACATAAAATGAGGTTTTATATATCGGAAGATGTTGTTCTTAGCTTGCACAGCTCCTGCAGCGCTGTAACCCATTCTCATTGCAAGCAGTACACTTGAGGGCTTTGAAAGAGTCTGTAAAACAGTTCCGAATCACTGACATCTTGCTCCCATGGCACACTGAGCATGGAAGGAAGCCAAAACCCCCACAAGAGGGGCACTCGTGGGGGTGCTGCACTCTCTGCATAAGAAAAAAGGAAGAGAGAGAAATATAAATAGTGGTTAATGGTCAGAAGCTTCGGGACAAAAGGGTTCTGAATGGGGGTTCATGTTTCATATGTTCTAAGAAACACTGAGCTCTGACTACTGAAACTCATGGTTTTCTACTGCCACAGAATTGCATTTTCAATTGGTAAGAACAGCATCCAATAGTCAACCAGGTTCATTAGAGGTGTGCGTATCTAACATAATGCTTGATAATTTGTGTTTACATTTGCCAAAATAACTAGCTAGGAGGTGAATATTGTTCAGTTAAATTATGCTCTTTTAGGTAGCTTAAGGTTTAATAATAAAACATACAAACTAGCCATGGTCAGTAGAGTTACACTGGGGGAAAATATTACAAGTTAGGAGATAATACAGCTTTCAATTGGTTTTGAATTGTGTAACAACAATTCTGTCTTTTGTTTTCTTTTTCTTTATAACATATCAGATTAAAGACAAAGATTTAAGGAGCAGATTTCTAGGTCTTTTTTGGATGAAAATGTCACTAGTTTATTTAATGATCACCCTGGAGGTCTATATCAGAGAAATAAAAAGAACCATGTAGTAAGTACTTGCTGTAGCACAGATGTGTGCTGCAATGTTGGATAAAGACTTCTACAGAGAAAGCCAGTGATATAAACAGTCTCTGCTAATATTGCTCTGAGAAATTATACATAATTACCTGATTATGTTAAAATATAAACAGAACACACACAGCACTCTTTTTATAGTTGTATCAAAGAGCTCAACAGAAGTGCTTCAGAAGTGTCAGAAAAAATATTCATCTGCTAGTCATGCAGATCGAGGCATTGGCAGGAGAGGAGAGGTAGATTGCTGGCTGATATAAATCAGTGCAGGTTCCTTGAAGTCAATATTGATTTGGGAGAGAAGTTGTTCCAAATCTATTTTCACCCTACATATTTATTTCCAAAAGTGTCTAACACATGACATGATATAGTATTTCCCAAGGTGTAAGATGTGTCCATGAAAAACTAGTGAGGTGGAGACTTAGTGTGATGCAGAGCAGTGGTTAAACATAGCACGGATATAATGGACAGTAATGTAATTTGGGGTGGGCAAGGGTAGCACCAGCCTCAGACACTCACTTAGAAGGTGTGCCAGAATTGCAGATACCTGGGGAGTCCATAATGCTACTGTAGCAGCAGCCACAGACCATAGCTATAGAAGCAGCAGCTGGGTGTAAGGACTCCACATAACTGCTGTAGCAGCAGCAAAAACATCTGGAACTGGGCAGAACATTTCATGCCAGCAGCAGCCAAAGACTTTGAGTCCCAAGGACAAGTAACCTTGACTACCCCTCACTTACTGCTCTCTGCCCTCCTTATCCTCATCCCAGCTGGGTTTTGCCCAGGGCACAAAACTTGCCAGTTATGCCTCTGGTAGTAGCTTGAAGTTTACTAGTAGCTGCTCCTTTTGAAATTTCAGAAAAATCATATTGGAAAGGTAGACACTGACCTGACCAAGTCATAATCTTTACACAAAGTTGCAGCAAGATGCTACACACAATGCTGTGAAAAACTACAGCCTCCCAAACCCAAGGTAAACATTACATCATCTATTCACATGTGCAAAAATTGTCACAATTAAGTATTTGATGTAGTTAACAAAACAATTGATGCAGATATTGCCATCTTGGGTACAGAAAACCAGAAACTTCATAATAATATGAAGTCCCCTTTTTTGTTTTTTCCTGCATTTGACCAAAGTAGCTTCTATTATTGTGTCTTTGAGCAGGCAATGCCTGTTGTTATGGGGAAATTGTTCTCTGTACGGGTATTTAATCTCAACTTTTTTATGCATATCTAGGGATCCCCACATACTTTATGTTGTTTACTGTACTGGCCCTTTTACTGGTATGGCCATTTTTTCAATTAACTCCAAAATCATAATGGAAACATATTTTATCATTACATTTCATAACAATCTGTGCTTAGGTTCTTGTGAAAAGCAGGCCATCTTGCAACCCTTAGCAAAGGAACATAACAAAAAAGAAAAAGAAATAATGCCTTTAGATTAGTCTGTATATGGAGTAAGGATTAAGAGCTGGTCAGAAATTTCTCAATTAAACATTGAAACTGGACATAGATTGGGAGGAACACTTGCCCAGGTTGGATCGGTCATGTAGATTCTTAACTGTAATTGAGGAGCTCTTTCTGACCCAGGAAGTGCAAGGGCCAACCAGAGGTACCACTTTCCTTGACTCAGTCTTGGCCAAAGGAGATGATCTGCCATGTGGCTTGAACACTGAGGGTAGCCTGGGCAACAGCGAGCATGAGTTCATCAGGTTCACTGTCCACCGCAAGGTTGACAAATCAACTAGCAGTCTTGAAGTCCTGGACTTCAAAAATGCTGACTTCAACAGGCTCAGGGCATTAATAGGGGAAGCGATGCAGGATCAGGGATGGAAGGCAAATGGGGTGCACGAAGAGTGGTCATTCCTCGAGGACATGATCCTCAAAGGACAACAAAAAAACTGTTCCCATTAAGAAGAAAGGTAAAAGAAGGGCTGGCAAGCCCTCCTGGCTCAACAGGGACATCCTGGTCCTCTTGAAAAAGAAAAAAGAGGCGTAAACACAGTGGAAGCTAGGGACAGTCCTCAAGGAAAACTATACAACAGTGGTCCACACTTGTAGGGATATGATTAGGAAACCTAAGGTGGTGACTGAGTTTAAGTTAGCCAAGGGAGTCAAGGATAATAAGAAGTCCTTCTTTGGGTATGTAAGGAGCAGAAGTAAAACAAATGGAAGTGTGATGCCCCTGCTTAGCACCTCGGGACAGCTGGTAATGGGCACTCAGAAAAAAACTGAACTCATGAATGCCCACTTTGCTTCGGTATTTCACCGGACAAAGGGGAAAGACAAGCAAGATAAGGATCACACAGGGCATGGTGGGAATGATAGCCTTTCCACTGTGGATGCTGAGCTGGTACAAAGCCAACTAGAAAAGCTAGACATTTATAAGTCAGCAGGACTGGATGGACTTCACCTGAGAGTACTGATGGAGCTAGTTGAGGTCATAGATTTATAGATTCATAGATGTAGGGTCAGAAGGAACCTAAGTAGACCTTCAAGTCCAACCCCCCGCTCTGGGCAGGAGAGAAGACTGGGCTCATATGACCCCAGCTAGGTAATTATCAAGCCTCCTCTTAAAGACCCCCAAGATAGGAGTGAGCACCACTTCCCTTGGAAGTTGGTTCCAGATCCTAGCTGCCCTGACTGTGAAGTAGTGCTTTCTAATGTCCAGCCAGAACCTACTCTCAAACAACTTATGGCCATTATTCCTTGTTACTCCAGGAGGTGCTCAGGAGAACAGGGTCTCTCCCACTCCCTGCTGGTCCCCCCTGGTAGGTTTATAGATGACTACCAGGCCCCCTCTCAGCCTTCTCTTGTGAAGGCTGAACAGATTCAGGTCCTGTAGCCTCTCCTCATAGGGTCTGACCTGCTGTACCCAGGTCATGACAGTGGACCTCCTCTGGACCCTCTCAATGCTGGCCACATCCCTCCTGAAGTGCGGCACCCCGAACTAGACGCAGTACTCCAACTGTGGCCTGACCAGTGTCACATAGAGGGGGAGGATCACCTCCTTGACCCTGCTTGCAATGCATCTGTGGATGCATGACAAGGTGCAGTTAGCCTTACTGACTGCATCCTCACATTGGCAGCCCATGTTCATTTTGGAATCGTTAATGACTCCAAGATCTCTTTCTGACACTGTGCTTTTGAGAAGGGAGTTCCCCAGCCTATAGGTATGCTGCTGGTTCTTACTGCCCAAGTGCAGTACCCTGCACTTGTCAGTATTGAATCCCATCCTATTCTCATTTGCCCACCCCTGTAACCTGTCCAGGTCCAGTTGTATCCTGTCTATCCCTGGCATGTGGCTTGAACACTGAGCGTAGCACTGAGGGTAGCCCTGGCATACATTAACCATTACATCTCATGCAAAACTAAGGAAGTGATACTCCCACTGTACCCCGCATTGGTTAGTCTGCAGCTGGGGTACTGCATCCAGTTCTGGGCACTGCACTTCAACAAGGACATGGAAAAACTTGAGAGGGTCCAGAGAAGAACCACCCTGTCCCAGGGAAATAAGAACGGAGATGCCGGAATGGCCTCCCGCAGTGGGACCCGAGGCAGAGGCAACCTGCCCAAAAAAAGAAAGAAAGAGCCCTGAGAAGAGGGCACACTTACCTGCAGTAGGGAAGGGAGAGCTGCACCAAAAAGAGCTGCTGGCACGGTTTATCAGGCACATTTATTGACGGCTGGTGGCGGCACCAGTGGATGACGTCATAAAAAACTGCTACCTGGCGGACTTAAAGACCAGTGGCAGAAGAATGGCAGGAGGGACAGCAGGGACGCCGGAGAGTGAAGCTGCTCCCTGGCCGACATCCCCAGAAGGTATACAGCCCTGGTAGGGGCAGTACGCAGACCCTCTAAGGGGGTCTCATCCAGATTGGAGAAGGGGGACGATGTCAAGGGATCAGAGAGGACTGCAGACGTTAGACCCATGAGTGGGGTGGGCAGAAACCCAAGCCCAGATTCTTTCATTATTTTCCTTTCCTTTTACTTTGAATTTTGAAAGACTCGGAGTCATGACCAAAGAAAGACTCTCCATGGGTCCAGGGTCACGAAGTAAGATTGAGGCCAAATGGGCAGAGACCTGGACGAAGGTTGGGTGTGAAGGTGGGGAATAACTGTACGCCTCTCAGCCATCTGAGATAGGCGAATCAGGTAACAGGCCAACAACCCACCATCCAGCGATCCCGACGGTGGCGCATGGCTGGGGTGTAGGGGAGGTGGAGCCCCATAAATGTTTCCACTGCATGGTACCCAGAGCAGCGAGAAACCCCGGGATGGAGCCTCCCCACTGAAAAAAGAGAAGACCAAGTCATGGCAGGAGAATGTTGGGGCTTCCTTCAGGGTGGAGCGTAATCTAACAGCTAAGATCCAGGGACATACCCCTTGGCCGGAGCTGAGTGAATGCTCGAAGGTCACCCAAGGATGCCTCTATGAGGGGCACACCCATATGATCAGAGACTTGCAAGACAAGCCATACAAGGAGAGGCTGAGGGACTTGGGCCTCTTCAACCTACAAAAGAGAAGGGACTTGGTAGCAGTTTATCACTGTATCAGGGGAGTATATCAAGAACTCGGTGAACAGCTGTTCACCAGGGCACCCTGGGGAAGACCAGGGTAAAAGACCAATGGATACAAACTCCTGGAAGACTGCTTCAGGCTCAATTCCAGGAAAAACTCTTTCACAGTCATGGTGTCCATGCTGTGAAATAAACTCCCTCCAGTGGTGATGCGGTCACCTACCCTGGAAATCTTCAAAAGGAGACTGGACAGTTACCTTTCTGGGGTCACTTGACCCTAGTTGTCTTTTCCTGCCCAGTGCAGGGGGACTGGCCCCTATGATCTACGAGGTCCCTTCCAGCCCGTAACTATCTATGAATCTATTAATTGTTTCTTCCACTGCAAAATTCTTTGTCAAAGTGGAAATTTTTCTCAGAAGCAGATTAGTCTCAGCAGGATGATGTTTTGTGTGTAGAATGGAATTTTTGGGAGTGAATAACAAACTCCTCCACTTTCTCTCCAAGAATATCCAGTAGGTTGGTGGTTAGAACAGAGACTAAAAGCCAGATTTCCCACATCCCAACAATGCCGTAATGACTAGGCTATAGGCATTTAAGGCATGGAGTGCACATCTACACATGCAATTAATTTGAAGCAATAAACTCTTGTACTTATTGTGCTGTAATTTATTGCTTCTGGGTGTACTGTTTGGATATGTGCCTGGGACAACAGCACATTGAGCCAGGTCAGAGCATCCCCAGCTGGCAGGGGTTTTGGGAGGTCAGCCCAGGGCTGCTCTGACCCAACTCAATGTCCTGCAGAGGGGCTGACTTGGGCACAAGGGTGCTTCACTGCAGGTAGCCAGCAGGCAGCCCCCACACTGCATGCCCCAGCCAGTCATGTCAATATTTACACGTGCAATGCTACATAGTAAAAAAGCACTGTAGCAGGATAGTACTTGTGTTTAAAAGTACAAGTTTATTAGTTTACTCCTGCTGCAGAGTTTATTAGTTTACTCCAGCTTAATAGCCCTGTACCTGTAGACACGAGATGTTTGCTGCAGAGCTAATTAGTCTACTCCACAGTAAACATTTCATGTAGATGCATTCAGGGAGATTTAGTCTATTCCTTTACCACTGCTACTTAAAGTCCATCACATATTGAATAGACATGGTTTGGAGATTTTTTTCTTCAGTTGTATTGTACTGGATGCTGTTTTTAGTTGTTGTTCCTGCTGTTTTAACTATTGTGTTTGCTGATCCTGACAGAAAATAATTTGCCTTCAGATCAGACACAGACTACTCACAATGGAGTTATTTCATTTCAGATCTTGAAGACTGCACAAATAGTTCTTACAGAGAATAGTCTACTTTGGCCTTCTGACTGTCAAATTCGGGGTGTGGACTATTGGGTTTGGCTGAGTGGAAATCCAAACTTTTAATGGGGTGGAACATTCACTGGTTTGTAACCGTAAGTAATCATTCATTGTAATTATTTGTTCATTGTAAGCATCAGATTGTAAAAGAAAGAAAGGCAATACTTAGTAAGTGACTATAAACAGTACAACTTATATTTAAACTTCTTAAATTAATTCCTTAAACATGATTACCTCAATTTTGGTTAAGAGATCCTGAAGCTCCCCCGATTCATTCATTGACAAAATTTTCTCAGCACCCTATTAATGAAAAGAAAACAATAGTAGACTTTGTGTTCAGTAACAGGAGTTACCTGAAGATTTGGTTTTGAAAATGTAACTAGCTTGAAGATAAAAAATAAATCACATGAAGGATCCTGTTATTAGATAAGTCTTTGGATTGCTAGAATGGCAAACAACATTAGCCAAGTTCCTGCAGAACTAAGTTTTAGTTACTGAACAGCTTCTCTTCTTGTGAATTTTGCCACAACTTTGAATGTCAAGACTGTTTTCACCATATTTTTCAGTATGTACCTCCTGATAGAGTAGAAAATATGTCTTGTTACTGTGTCAAAAAAACAATTATATAAATATACAATTCACCAAAGAATGTAAGTAAGCAATATGAGAGAAACTGTATTTCAACTATTTTGGCAGTTCAGCACTGACTTCAGACATAAAGTGGCTAATGCAGAAGAGAGAGAAAATAAGGGCAATGAAACTACTGTAACAACATTAAAGTCAAACTCAATAGTGAATAATAATAATTTAGTTTGAGTACATTAGGCCTTTGGGGATTTCTGTGATATGAACCAAGCAGTAATGAAGTAGCTCCTCATTTTTCTCTCTGAAACTAAATGTTCAGAGATTACTGCAAACAAAATGAAAGTGCCAAGGAAGATGAAAAACTTTTTCCTTCTTTTCCCAAACATTGTGGGAGCTATTTGGATGTTTTCCATTCAAATTATATAGCTGTAAATGCGTACAGAAGAATTATGGCAGTACCCATCTCTTATATAGCATTTTCCTCCATAAGACTCGAATCACTTTGCAAAAGACATATTCATCATTATACCCATCTTACAGATAAGGAAACAGAGGTAGGGAGTCATCCAGTTGGTTAGTGGTGGAGCTGGGAACAAAATTCAATTCTCCAGAGTCCCAGTAGACTGCTGTTTTCCCTGGGTTGTACCATCTCTGCTACAGATTGATAATTAAAGGTATTACGCTAAACAGTGTCTCATATAAGAAAAGCTTCTGCATATGCATTCTTATTAACAAACTAAGGAAATACAGACTAAATGAAAGCATAGTAAGGTGGATACATAACTGCTCAGACCACCATACTGAATGAATAGTCATCAATGGCTGACTGTCTCATTAGGAGAAGATATCAAGTGGAGTTTTCCATGGGTCTTTCTTGGTTCTAATATTAACATTTTCATTAATCATTTGAATGATGGGATTGACTGCATACTTAAAAGATCTGTAAAGGTCACCAACACCAAAATTGGATTGAGTTGCAGAAGCTTGGGAGGGTAGGGCTAGGTCCCAGCATAACCTGATTGCATTGGAGAAACGACCCAAAATTGTTCAGATGAACTTCAACAAGGACTCATACAAAGTCCTACACTTGGGACAGAATAATTAAATACACTGAAATAACTGCAAAGCTAAGTTGCAGTACTTCAGAGAAGGTCCTGGGTGTTACAATGAATATGCTGAATATGTGCCAACAATGAGCTCTTGTTGCAAAAAACAGTCAACCACATATGGGGTGTATTAACAGGAGTGCCACTTGCAAATCCAAGTGATTTTTCTGTTCTATTCAGCCCTGGTGAGGCTTCATCTAGAGTACTGTGTCAAATTTTGGGCCTCACATTTCAACAAGGATGTGGACAGACTGAAAAAGCTTCAGCAGAAAGGAATACAAATTATTAGAGACCTTGGAATTACGACATATGAGGAAAGGCAGAAAGAATTAGGAATATTTGGTCCAGAGAAAAGACTGAGGGGGCAATTTGATAACGGTCTTCAAATACCTGAGAGGCAAGTATAGGGAGGATGGACATGGACTATTCTCTGTGGCTATAGGGTACAGGACAAGGGGTAATGGTCTCAAGCTGCAGCAGAGAAAATTTAGTTAAGGAGTTTAGAAGGAACTTTCTGATAATGAGAATGGTCAAGCATTGGAACAAATTATCTGAAGAAGTTGCGGGATCTCCATCCATGGATATTTTCAAAAGCAGGTTAGACTTGGCTGGGTTGATTTAGTTAGCAAACACCTAAACTATATGATCTCATGTGTTCTCTTCCAGCCCCTCTTTCCTATGATCCTGTGCAGATTTGAATGTAATTGTTTTGGTTACAAACACTTTGAGGGACATACACTTGCACCCTGTCTCCAGACATTATTGGCCAAGTGCTTGTGCCCTGCCTTAAAAGCCCCTGAACAGAGAAGAATTTCTCCTGTTTGGATGAGTAGGAAAACAGACCATGTAGACGACAAGCAGACATTCTCTGCATGCATCATGAGAATGTACTCCATGCTACCTCCATCAGTATATTGGGAGTGTTATTTGAGGAGGGATAATCCCAAAACAGAAGTGAGTGAGTGGCTAGTAGAGAAGGAAATACATTGAACTGGCAACCTTGGGTGTGAGAAATCTAGATGCACATACAGTCCATTCGCTGACTGAGACAGCAAAGTGGTAGCACAGCTGCTTTCATGCCACTAGGCAGATCCTAGTAGTATATCCTCAGCTGTTGTAAATTGTTAGGAGGTGATTAGATGTGTCAGTTTGAAGCCAGACAGAAGGTAGTTCAGGATGGCATGTTAGAGACTAACTGATTCAGATTAGAGGTGCACCAATACATTGGTCCAATATCAAATCGGTACTGATATAAAGAAAACTGGCTGGATCGAATATCGGCCAATAATTTGGCTGATAAATGCCCGTGCTGTGTACAGCTGCAGTGCAGCTTTCAGGAAGAATGGAGCACAGCCAGCAGCATGGAGAGCTGTCTCCAGCTGGTAAATTCAGTGTGGTGCAAGGTAAGGGGGGAGGGAAGGGGCATGGCAGGGCAAATCAACACCCCCGGTGGTGAGGGAGGGGGCAGGGGCAGGGGTAGGTGCTGCTCAAACGGCGGGGCAGAGCCATGGCTCATGGGAGGGGAGGTGACTATCACCACTGCTTGCAGCCCAGGAGGGCATAGCGGGTGCCCCCTGCCTGGATCTGCACAGGGCAGGGCATGCTGCACCCAGGGCGCCAGAGGGCTCTTCTCAGTGGGAGCTGGGCTCAGAGCGGGCACCAGCGGCACTGGGAGGTTGCTGCATCCACCCCAAATTTAGCTGCCAAACTTCTCCCAGTGCCACCGCTGCCAGCTGCCCAGCACAGCCCGGGCTCTTCCCAGCACATGGGTGGAGGTGGGGCATTGAACTGGGGCTGCACAGGGTGGCTGGTAGCAGTGGCACTGGGAGCAGAGTAGAGGCAAAATTTGGACTGGATGCAGTGCCAGTGCCACCGGTGCCCGCTCTGAGCCCAGGCCCCGCCAAGAAGACCCCCAGCTGCAGCCCACCCCACACAGATCTGAGGGACACATGCCCCCCCCATGCCCTCCTGGGGTGCAAGCACCAGCAGAAGCCACCTCCCCCCCGTGCGAGCTGTGGCTCTGCCCGCCCACCCCACCTGGGTGTGCGGGCCGGGAGCGACCTGAGCCCTTTTTCGTGCTGCACGCAGGCTGTGGCCAGCAGCCCGGGCATGCCAGTTTGGAGAGGGAAGGCCGTCGAGCTGGAATTAGGCACAAACGCGTAGCGGTAGTTTAAAAGATTGTTTACTTACACCGAGATGGCAGTGGTGTAGGCTGGAAAACTTGCTTGAATTGCAGTTACAGACAGACAACCAAAACAAAACTCGAACCTGCAGGGCACGAGGGTACGTCGCAAAGGGTTCCGGCGACGGGAAGATATAAAATACGAGGGTACGTCGCAATGGGTTTCGGCGACAGGAAAAATAAACCTGCAGGACTCGAACACGGGTAGAAGAGCTCTGAGGCCGGTCGTAAGGGCTCACACAAAGCTTGCTAGGCTCCGTGGGTTCTTCTGTTCACTCACTCACACGAAGTTTGCTAGGCTCCATGGGTCCGGTTCTCTTGCGCACGGGAAGGGATACGTCTGGATTGCGCTCAGCGACGGGGAGAGGCTAGAGGTTGATCAGACCTCCGTTGCCTGCTTTAAATGCACTGGGTCCGTAAGGATCCGCAGCGCTTAGAGATCTTCACACAG